GAAGTGAAAGCATCTGACTTTTACATACATATGTTTTAAACGAATCTATTCACACTCATCGTTTGCATATATTTTTTGTTTCCCTAAATTTTATTACATTTTCTGTCTCTACATTTACCTAGTAAAAATGTATCTGATCATTTGAGCCACAAAAAAGAACAAACTTAAAAGTTTTACTACATATAACACTAGATTTACCGTATATTTTACTGCTCACACTGTAAAACTTTCTGTTTTTATTATTGTACTGTGGAGTTTAAGTTACACTGGAATTACATTAAAAAAACACAATAAATTACAAAAATTATAACCTATATGGATGATAACCTAAAATATGTTCAGCAGCTGCAAGTTGTGCATTAATGTTCAGACGAATATCTAGATAAGTGGTTAAGGATGAGTCGTAATCATTGCAGGGTTTGATGAATATATCTGTAGATACAATCAAGTCACAGTCAGTCGCTGCAGCATCTTTGCTGTGAAAGTGGAGGAGGTGATTGCAAATGTGTTAATGACATTCTGTGAGTGTGACGCCGGCGCAACAACGAGTGTCTGTGGTAATAGGTGCGATCCGGGGACATCCTCGGGGTACATTTTGCTCCGTTTGGGTCGGGTCACTGTGGATAATCATGAGACTGATGGAGACAAGAACCGGAAGGGGAAGGCGTGTGAGCGATCTCACACCATGGATGTTGTCCCTGTGTCAAGAGTGATGACAAGAACATGACATAATGTATTGTGCTTCTGTAAGGGTTGTTTTCACATTTCCATTACTCATCCACTTGCATAAAAGGCGACACATCAGAGTTTTTCCTGATTTATACTTGAGATATTTAATTGTTTTAGGTGTTCAGTAAGTCAAAAAACAAACAAAAAAAAAAAAAAAAACATGTGGAATTCAGATTTCCACAGAATTAAGTACAAAAAAACAATTATTGTTGCTTAGTTTACTTTATTCACCACAGTGAATACTGTAATGTTTGATTTCTATAATGTTTGATTTACTGTTTAGAACATGATAGGGCATGTAAAACAGAATTAGACGGTAACAATACAGCAGTAGGCATTGCTAAACTTTGTACTTCACAGCTTCCATATCTCAAGATTTGCCCTCATTTTCTGCATCAGCCATGATGTTTATTCAAGTTGAAGAACCAGCAGCATGCTGGAGCCACATGCCTCCAGGAAACCAATAGTGAAGCTAGTTTGTAGGTTATTATTTTTTTTCTGTGTCATTAATGGTGGAGGTAAACAGTTATATGGAGATATTTGGCATAGTTGCAAACAGAGAAACATAAAAAAAGAATGTTAAATTTTGATAAGCCAAACATTTGCAAAAAATGTAACTGAAAATATATTTTATGATCATTCCGCAATATAAAAAAAAATCTAACAAAATGTAACATGAAGTTAAATTTAGCAATATAAATAAGATACTTGTATAAATAGAAAGTAGTTCAATAGACACAGTGAATACCAACAAACAACAAGTTTGTGGATCTATTTATAAGTTTGTTTGCACAACAGGTTAATGCTGAACTTGCTGTTGCCTTCTTGTGGCATGGAGCAAGGGTCGGCTTGCAGTGGTTTCTTAGAACAGCTGACTTTGATTTATGGCTACAGAAACGTACATGTGTGGCAATTAAAATTGTGCAGGCTCTCTGCAAGAGTTAGAGCCATAGGGTAATTATTCAATGCACAACTCTTCACAAACATGCATGCCATAAAGTAAGACAACAGGACATTTTTTTCAAAAAGACTTGCTTTGTATCAGGACCTATGTACTGTTATCCTACTTCAATAAAGTTTGATACTGAATTTTTGTCAAGGTTGAAGAAAATTGTAGCAATTTGTATCCCTGGCAACTTGGTACACATTATGTAATGAATCATTGCTACAACCAGTCCAAAATCCTGCAGAGCACACGAGAAACACACTACTGTCTGACCAGAGGGGATTTTTGTTTTAGATGGTGTACTCAGCACTGAATAAATTTCAAACCAACTCCAGGATCATTTAAAACTTTGTATTTTTTCACATTTCTGTATTAATTCCTAAACAAAAATGACTATATATTCCTTCCATCCATCCATCCATCCATCCATCTGTATTTTTTTGTACCAGTGCACCCATTATAACTGCTGATGTGTTTCAGCAACTGTTCAACATCAAACTCAAAAGAGAAGAAATCATTCTGGTAAGACAGCTGCGGCTGCAGTAAATTGCTACAAATAACAACAAACCTAAATTTAAATGTTTAATGTAATAATTAAAACATTTAAAATGAGTAGAACTATAATAAACACAGGAGGACGATAAGAAATGTTTGTACTTTAGTACCATTCACAGTAAGCTGCATGATAAAATATCTCAATAAAAAAACTCAAAATCGAGTGCTAGTGAACTGCTCCAAAGTTTTGAGTGTGAGATTAAGCTACTTTTACTTTGAGGCTTTGTTACACAGCTGGGATGCGGTTTTACATTAGTTGAAAGGTTTACTGCCAAATACTACTGAGCTTGGAGATAGGAATTAAGCAGAACCAAAACTGGATATGAACATCCATCCAGTTTGCTGAAAATGTAAAAACAAAGCAACCATTTGCATTCATTTACAGTAATTATTCACTGTAAGAATCCCAAATCATGTCAACAAAACAACATACTAATTGATCCCTTCACTAATAGGGGCAAAAAGTCTGATGTTTCTCTTCAGTTCATCATTACTTTAATGACGTGGCAGTTCAGCTTCAACAGGGCCTTCCATGGAAATATGGAGTGCTGATCAACACTGCATATAAATGGACCTTATCATCAGAGAGAAGAAACATTGGTCACTGAAGTGTGACATGTACAAGGTCTGAACACATTACCCATCATGGCTTTGTGGAAGAGGAGTTTCCAACACTCCCCCCTGAAACCTTTCAGTGCTCTCTTTCTGTCACTTTCTGATGCCAAAGGAAACTGGACCCTGTGAGCTTTCCTGGCAGGAGGGGTTTTATTGGAATCCCTTTAAGGCCTGGGATCTAGGCCAATGGAGCAGGTCCTGCTCATCTGTCCTCACGAGTAAAAACTTTGTGCAAACTCTAAAAGCAAACTAATTGGGGGAGGGGAAAAATCCCCAAAGGTTGTACTGCAGGTCGTGGTGCGATCAGCTTCAAGCTTTTGACATAAAATGCTGTGTATTCTTTCCTGTAAATCTGCTGTGCATGTACTGGTTATTCAGCCTGTCTGAATCAATTTGTCCTGAGGAATAATCCCAGGGTTGCATAACCCTGGACCCCCAGGCCCACCGTTACAACCACCAGTGGTAAATCCCAGAGATCAAGAAACGGATCAGACAGAGTACACAAAAGGCCAATGGATAGAATGAATGAAACAGAAGAAGCAGGGGATGTAAAGCTGTTTCTGGCAGGCAACAAAAGGGCATCGGTCCTCTGCTCCGAGGACCCGGCATGGATGGGAGCTTTGAGACTGCAGACAAAGCTCGCTGCCAGTAAAGACAGTGGCTTTAGCTGTGGCAATAAATGCCAACACAAACTCCCGATGAACAGCGTGACCATTTAACTTGTCTTGTAAGGAGCACTGGAGTGGCACCGCCTGTGCAAACAAGTCGGCTTAGGAGGTAATTATGTCAGCAGAAAGCACGCTGCTAACATAATGCAATGTATCAGATGAGAAGTTTTTTAAGCTTGCCACCTACACACCTCCCTAATGATCACATGGTTGGAAGAACAGCTGAAGCAATTTTAGTTGGACAGGAAGACAAGTAAATTAGAGTGTGCTAAAAGACAAGAACAGACAAATTTAGCCAAGGGAACATATGGAGTTGAGACTGAATCCACAGAGGGCTGAAGTCACTTTATTTCCACAGCTCTTTAACATATCTTCTGTCAGTATAGTCATTAAATGTCTACTGAGCACCAGAATAGAAACAGTTGCCTAAGAGTACTAAGATCTCAGCAAATAGAAATGTACTGTATGTTTGGGAAATACTTGCAAATTTCACGTAATGACTTGCCTTCCAGTCCTGGTTATGAAATGGGCGACATAGCTCTTTGCTGAGGGCTTAGCTGTGTCTGAGCGTAGCAGGCATGCTCATAAAGCAAACAACCAAAAAAAATCCCTCAGTTCCTCCCTGAACAAATGCATTGCTTTGCAACATGTCGAGTCTTTATACCAGGGCTCCTCATCCCAAGTCCTCGAGGACCGGGGTCTTGCCATTTCTAGATTTGTCTCTGGTCCCACACCGAATCAAATGCCTGCATTGCCTCCTCAGTAGTCAGTCCAGTCATGAAAAGTCCTGCTAATGACTTCGTGATTTGACTCAGATGTGTTGAAGCAGAGACATATCAAAAACTTGCAGGACACTTGCCCGAGAGGACTGGATTTGAAGATAGCTACTTTAGATATTTGAAAAGCAAAGTGAGTGACCAGTCTCCTCTGTAAAGAAGGTTTTCCCTTTCACAGGAAATGAAAGGTGTATCATTTTCATCATGTGAACGCCTCAACTGCATGAAAGAGCTTCTAAAAATAATTCTGAAAATCACATTGTATGTAATTAATTAGCATCTTATTGCATGAAATATGTATTTAATTACCTGGTAACCAGTATTTATTCTGAAGTCATCCTATTCTCTAGTCTGGTCATTGCCTTTCTGTGCAATTCCACTTGATTCTCATCTCCTTCCAGTGCTCCGTCTGGGATTTCTCCCATAAAGCTTGATTTGTTTGGCCGAATTTCAACCAAGATCATTAGCGAACAGAAGGAAAAGTTGTGAACGATGATGTTGATCTTGTGTGATGTTTTATAATTGTAGTTTGCCTGTAGTTTTAGCGTTGGCAGCGGAGGAATTGAACTAAGCTGTTCAATCTGTGTTGGCCACGCCTCCAAATATCGAATTAACATTAACAATCACCTTGTTAGGTTTGGCAATTCTGTCTTGGTAGTGGAAGATGGTTGTATACAATTTCTGGTAAGTTTCATAGCGTCGAACTGTCGCATTACATGTGTCAGGGCCAAATGTGAGTGATTGGGTATTGAAACTTCAACAGAGTCCACACCTCCTGTAATCAATTGTTTTCCAACAGTCCAGGGTCCAGATCCTCTGTACAAGGTGACACATAGAACAAGGGGCTGGTTTTTTACCTGGTACATATCCTCCAGTTCTTACTTGTATTAAATGCTACTGACTGAACCTGTTATATGAATAAAAATAACCTGCCTGCATGTCAATCAGTCTTCACTCTCCACCATGGGCAAGAACCAAAAAGCTATCTAAGGACACCAGTGAAGTGTTAGAAAGTGGAAGAAGGTGAAGATGATGTCAATCTCCCTTGAACTACTACAAGATCTTATGTCATGGGAGGACCTGGTCAATTACCTAACAAGAACTGGGACCACAGTCTCAAAAAAGACCAGGCATTCGCTACCCCAGTCTGAATTAAAATACTGAAGCCACCGAATGTCCAGGCCCGTCTGAAGTTTGCCAATGACCATCTGAGAAGGCACTGGAGAAGGCTGAGTGGTCAGATGAGACCAGAACAGAACAGGACATTCTAGCATGAACTCCACTTGCTGTGTTTGGCAGAAGAAGGATAAGTACATCCCTCTAACCCCATCCAAACCTTGACGTATCAGCATGGAAACATCATGCGTTGATGTGCTTTCCTGCAAAGGACGCAGGACAATTGCATTGTATGGAGGAGAGTATGGATGGAAAAATCTGTGGAGGAAACTGAAAGTCTGAAAAATATTCATATGAAGGAGAATCACTGCTGAAATGTGTGTAAACATGATCAAGAACCAATGTTCGACCTGTGTAATTAGGAGTATATATTTCATTCAATAGAATCCAAATGAAATATTTTAAAATCACTCAATGTGATTTACAGATGATTTTACTTAGGTTCTGCTGGAATAGTTATAATAACCCATGAAAATTAAAGACCTCTTATTTTTTTAAGAGGAGAAACTTGGAAATTTTGGTGTATCAAATATTTATTTTCCCCACAGCGGATCAGGCAAACAATAACAACAACAGGCGCTGCCACTTGTACATCTTGTTCTGTTCATGCAAAAGCAAAACCATGTTGGGGAGGCAAACGACTACCTGCCTGTCTCCTCTGCCGTGTTAATAGTGATAGATCAGGCAGGAAAGCTCCTCAGAGTGATCCTGACACAACAGCTGAGAAGCTCAGACTTGATATATAAGGGGTTAGGCGGGAGCTGCTAAAGTGGTGGTATTGCTGACACACCAGCTGCATCAGATACTGAGAACAAAAGTTGAAAACAAAGTGTTCATTTGGGAACAAAGTAGATAATTGAAAGGACGAAATGTGCAGAATGGAGAACGGTCACAAGGTCTACATTTCTTTACAAAGTTAGTCACACCCTCTGAACTGTTTTTACAACTAAAATCTGAAAAGTGTGACCTCTGTTTCTGTTTAGCCCCATTTAATTTGATGGCCCTAAATAACAGAAGTGCACAAGTAAGTTTTATCTGCTCGTTCATATAGATTTGCAACACAACAAGTTTATCAGATCTAAGATTTTGGAACAAAAGGACATTCAAATATTTGGGAAGAGCAAAAAAAAAAAAAATCCTCATGAAATAAACTGCATAATCCTTTCTTCATCCAATAAGAACGTTTGCATCCAAAGAGGCCTGCAGAGAACAGCTCCAGCTCCCTTTTACGTAAGTAAGGGGTCAAAGTGAAATGTCAAACATCCTGCCTCGGGCTCCAGCTTTGGTCACAGCAAATCCCTGAGGACTCTTCATGCATCTTCTCCATATTCTTTTAAAAGGGACAAACGGATGAAAATCCATCAGAATGAGTGAATGTGCACCTTTGCATGATCGTCTTTGTTCATTGTCAAGTGTCAGCCGAGCAAAGCTGCAGCAGGATGCAGATGAACCGTCACATGCAGCAAACGTAAGCACAAGTAGGGTCAAAGTCACTGCAGTCTTGTGCTGCACAGAGATCAGTTTGCTTACATAAGTCCGGGGAAACGTCGGATATGGTCCACTGGCAGCAAATGAAGAGGAAAAGACCACTGATCGTTTCCAGGCCCATCTGAAGAAAAAACAACGTAACCAAGTCACTGTATCTATATTTTGAGAAAGATATTTGAAATTATTTTTGGAGAGTCTTATGTAAAACTGCTTTAGCAGAAACATGAAACATCTAAATGACTCGCGTTGTTGTGTGTGGAAGAAAGTATCACCGGGATTCTGTTACTTTATTTCATTGCAAACAGTATGAACCCTTGATACAGTTTTCTTTCCTTTTTTTTTACATTGCAACCACAAATGTTGTATCTTACTGAGTACAGGGTTTCCCACAGTGCATTAAAAGCCTGGCGGGCCACCAGGCTTCACTTGTGCCCACACCATGCTTACCTTTTTTTATTTATTTTAGTTTTTTTTTTATTATTACCTTTTTTTAAAAGACTTTACAGTTGGTGTTTAGGGATTAATCTTTCAGTCTTCCAATAATGCATAAGTATCAAGTGATATTTTCAAATTTCCTGTCAACTGTAAACATTTTTTAACTCAAAAACACGACTTGGTGCTGGATGAATGACTGCCCTAGCGCCCCGAGCTCCAGGCTTAGCAAGTTTTCTGGGGGAAACCCTGGAGTGTGCATGTAATAGAACAGGAAAAACTAATCAGATTTGCAGTGAACACTTTTTACAAGGTGAGAAAATTAACAATATACTTTTTGTAAGTAAGTTTATTAAGACAAAATCAAATATTGCATTATGGAGAAGGTGCATGTCTAATCATTTGAGAAAATACCCTCCCATCATATCGCCTGGCATGAGCAAAAAAACTGGTTAGCATCTAGATTTATGTATGCTTTCATGGCTGCTCCAGTGCAAGGGAGCATGCACTTCATTTACTCATCTTAACCTCTTCTCCTTGTGTTCTGATACTTGGGTACGTAGTAATATAACACCAGGGGAACCTGTGTGTGTGGCTCAGCCAACTCCACTCTGGAGACAATCGATATGTCTGTCAGGGAGAGAAAGCACAGAATGAGCTCAGGGACATAATTATGATGACCCAGTAGATTCTTTTTGAGCTTCCCAATAGAATTTGATGGAAAAAAAAAAAAAAGAAAGTGTAAAATGATCTCAACACGTGAGGTTGAGTTGACCCAGGGGGCGACAATCTTCCTGCTAATTGGGGCAGCTCTGCTGTTAACTCGTGATCTTAGCTGTGATCTTGTTTCATGGGGAACTCATCAGACCTGTCACTGTCAAAATATATGAGCAAATTTAATGGAGCACACACTAACCCAGCTGGAAACGATGTGCTACCAGCTTCAAGCCAAAACTAAAACGTTACAACGCAATCTCCTTTACGCTTTCAGCAAAGTGGAAAAACAGTCTTACTTCAGTAATACACTTAAAAAAAACATTAATATTAACAGTGTACTTTCTTTAGACTTTTATATGACATATTTCGGTATCCTTGGCTCATGGATGGATAAATGGATGAATACTAAGATTACTCAATTCATATTGCTAAAATAAAGGTTTCAACATGCTGAAGTTTGTATGTTTAAATTCTATTTAAATGTTCAATTCGATATACTTTTTATCTTCCCTGGGCAAAGATTTTTTTTAAAGTTTACAACTAAATCAGCTTTGATTGCAAATATCTCGCACCAAACAATATAGAAAATAGAACCTCTAATTTCATAGAACTTATTTTGCTGATAAATATGTTTTTTACCTGTTGATTATAATTCCTAAAACATAACTGTATGCATTTAAAAACGAACAGGTAGATGAGGGGAATAAAAGATGTGACACAGAGACCCATTTGTTTTTGCTCCCCTTTAAGATGGGAAAAATAAGAGACTTAACGTGCTTATATGCTTTATAAATTATCTATTTTTTTTTTTAAAGTAAAATGCAATTTTTTCTTTTCAGTTTGCTGAATTGCTCACACTGGATTAGCTGTTTTTGATTTAATAAATGTTTGCATTTGGCACATAATTTCTGTAAATGTTTTTAGGGGTTTGAAACATTGAATAAGAAAATTCTTATGCAGCAAAGTAACATAAAGATCTTAATAAATGCTCCTCCATCTGCTAAGCTTCCTCCTGCTTTTGGTTCACACACAGATAAATGTTTACAACTGGACTTGTCACAAATATGGCTGGAGGAATATTTATGTTCATCTCATAATCGTGCAGTCAGGCTGATGACAAAAGGAGGTAAAAAGAGTGTAGAATCATGCTACTGCAATAAAGATAAAATAATTATTTATGCTTTTGAAACATTTTTACCATCCTGCCAACATTTATACACGTTGCTGCATGCACAGGTGCCGGACACATACATAATGCTGATGTATTGTCTCATTTGTAACCAATACAGTTTAATGTTGATGTGTTTTTTTTTTTTACTGTCTCCAGGAGGCCAGACTTCTTGGCGAACACAGCCAAACATAAGTGCATTCTCAGCCCTCTTCTTGATTTTTCTTTTTTTCTACTTCTGCCTTCGAGATCTGTATAAACAGCCGGTGGGTCTGGTGACATGAAATTAGTTACGTAAACATACACGGACAGGAGGATGATTGGTAGGCGTGCAGAAATGTGGCTGCTGCACCCAGTGTTTATGAAATCTCAGATCTGCTGAAGCGACATTCCCGCTTTGCTTAATCCACATGGCAAAGACAGCGGTGAAGGCTCTCTCATTACCACAGGTGTTTAAATAAATGACTCCGTGAATCATCAGACTAGGAACATTGTCGGGCTGCGGCTAAAAGAGCCTCCCCTTCATCAGACGACCTAACGAACTAATAACCGTTTATCTTGGAGCCAGCAAATGATACTCAGCACTCTCAGGGCTTTAAATGTAATTTAGTTTTTGCTAGAGTCAGTGCTGAGTAAGAAGATGTGCACTTGCGCCATGGCAACACTGTTTCTTGCTAAGCTGAGTAACAGGACACAGCTACAACAGGAACACGTTGATCCAGGGGTCAATCCTTGCTGCTTTATTGCAGGCCCCTCTTAACGTAAAGAAGACCCTGTTTTTGGAGCGTCCGCCCCGTGGATTGCGTTACGCTGCTGTGCAAAGTGCGAAACGGTCAAACGCTAACAAGACGAGAGCGGCACCAGTTGTGTCAAAGTCATACCTCGTGACGCAGCAGCTTTCAGGAAACCTGCTTTCAACAGGTTCAGGATGAAACGCCAAAGGGCAACATGATTCATATATTTTTATCCTGTCAACGACTTCCTTTAAATTCAGTTTGTGTGTTACTCTGTGGCACAAGCTGCCTCTGTTCCCACTGAGTGGCTTCTTTACGTCGAGTGAACCGAGGCTCTTCAGAGGGACAAGCCGAGATCTGAAAAGAGGAAGCACAACAGGGAGGAGGCTTGCTAAATACAGGAAGTGAGACTATTCTAAGTGTCTGCACCAGACAAAGCTCTCATCCTGTCCCCTGTGCGCTCAGAGCATGCAGCAAATTCACTATAACGTCAAAAAGTTGTCCCTGTTCACTCAGAAAAGCGTATTTTTGAATTTGGACTGAACACCGAGTTCATAAGTCCAAATGTGAACCATCAATCAGTATAGCCCAAAAAGTCAGTGGAGCTTAAGTAAGTTAAGTTCAACAGTTTTAGGGGTTAGTGCATCAGCCAACACAGCACAAGGTGAGTCAACTTAACAAGGAGCAACCTTCAGCCTACTGGAGTTGTATGTGCACTTTCATATTCTGCTATAGTGGCATCCCATCTATCTGATCACCGTATCTCCAGCCCTGCTATTCCACCTTTTAGTGTCAGAAGTTTCAGTTTTGCCGGTCTCAGTTACTTTCAGGCGCTCCCCACCTGCAGAGCCTGCAGCAAAGCAGAACCTCTGTATTGAAATGAAATGATAATAAAGGATCTGACATGCACTCACAAGCACAACTACATCGCATATATATCCAGAAAGGGTTTTCAACACAAGGGTGAATAGGCAAGAATCATCATCTGAGACTCTCACGGAGGTTTTTGTGTAAGACAGCTTAGAAACAAAACTCAGGTGACGTGAGACGAGAGACCACACTGCGTGAGCTGATCCTGATGGTGACCACAAGACGTACAGGTTTTCATGATGGGTTGTTGCATAATACCTTGGTTTTATGTAGATGAAAAACTTGCCACCCTCTTTTTATGTTACTAAAAACACAGTAATCTTTGTTGCTTCTGTCAAACGATGCTCCCTTTCCGTCCCAATGCCTCGAAAGTCAAAGACAAGTAAAGACCAAGAAACTTGTGCTTAACAGTCTGTAAGATGGGAAACTTCATCCTGCACAGCAGCTGCGATTTGTTTATTTTGTATTTTATATGATTTGACCACAATTGCGTTTATTATATTTCTACAACTTGTAAAGCACTTAGTAAACAGTGGCACTAAAATTAACTTGACTTTGACTATTAATTTATACCCACATTTTATACACGTAAGTAACAGTTTTATTTCCATATGCCAAACAATTAGTTTAATTATCAAGGCAGTCTGCTACTTTAAAAAAACTACTATGAAAAATATACATTTCTTTGAACTCATATGTAATTAATTTAAATTAATTTGTATAGAACGTTCTGAAGATTTTTACATTATAGTCATCTTCAATGATTAAGGTTCTGATGGGTTATTTAACCTCTTAGCTGTGTAATACCGACACTATTATTTCATTTGTGTAAATAAAACCATTTTGTGTCTGCTGAACTATCCACTCTCAATCAGTTCAATTTTATTAATATCCGGAAACTTTTTTAAAATAAACAAAACTATTAAGGTAAAAATAACAAAAAAAAAAAAAAACCTCAGTATTCTGGTAAATTTATTTGTCTTTCATTTACTGACGATTTATATGAGACCATATTCCCATAGTTTTTGGTACTAATGGTTGTCTTTGTCACTTCGTAGTGGTATAATTTTGGTCGGTAAGTGACTAAGTGACATTTTTGACAGTAATGATCTCTAATGAAATGTAATTATTTTTAATGCATTGTTAAAGTGTGTTCTTGCACCTCTAACACTTTGGTGCCACATAAAATTATGCAACGGCATGCACAAGTCCTTAAGCATTTGGTTTTTTTGGGCATGATGTTTTTATGCTATTAAGTTCATATCATATAGCTCTCCATATAAATCAAACTAAATAAACCAGAGACATGTGGAGGGTTTTTTTTGTGAGTGCCAACACTAATGACAGCAACTGGGAAAACTAAAATAATAACGTCACCTCCGAAATGATCCTGCCAGCAGTCCTGTCCGGTCAACAACTAGAAGTGTTTGGAGAACTCTATTAAACTAAAAATAAGACAAAGAAGTCCCTGAACTGTTGAGAGGATGAAATCGTACATCAAAGACAGATGGTAATAAGTCGCATAGGTTCCCAAATGCTGGTAACAGAACATAGCACTGTTTCAAACTTTATTGAAATATGCTTCCAGGCTTATATTACACTCATACTGTTGAAAATTGATATCAAATACTTGCATTTAGTTTTCAAATTGTAATAAATTTCTTCAATTTTTGTAAGTTGGTTGGAATGAACGTGAAAGAAAATCCTGAACATTTGACTATAAATAGAGAGAAGCACACTGGCTTAAGCCAAAAAGACAAGTTCAAACCAGGCTTCTCTTTCCCACTTTGTTGCCAATGAAAGGGAGCACACACACACTCTCTCTCTCTCTCACACACACACGCACGCACACACACAACGTAAACCTATCGTGTCTTGATCAGAAGACACTGGGTTCAGTCCTCCAAGGAAAAGGCGTGTAGAAATAAACTGGAGAGTTGAGTCATCAAAAAATAACTATGACAGATACAGAACCAGTCTGGAAAACATGCAGTCAATAAAAGCAAAGTGAATCATTAAACTGCACAAAGGTCAAAATATGTGTATTAACAGAGGGAAAATGGAGATGTGTCCAAATCATGCAAACCCAACACGCTCTGAGGAATGCAGAGTCAGGTTGCCTCTGATAGTAAATAATACTGATGGCATGTTATGCAACGCAGCGTGGTTTTGTTGATTAAATTAGAATCATTTCGTTTTTAGCAAAAAAAACAAACATCTTTGAGACACTTTTACACAAAATTAAATTGGTTCTTAAAACAACTCTGAATCAGATATCAGAAATGCAACCAAAGATTTACTGAATATTGAAATAGTGAAATGCTATTTATTATTTTTAAAGGATGTCAAATAAAAGTCACTGTGGCCACGGGATGACCTATTAGTTTTGAACACAAGGGCTTATGGGGAGGCAAATTATTACTATCAACAAAAGAGTGAAAGAACAACTCAGGATGAGGATTTGTTATTGTCGTTCAAACTGAAAAACACATACAGCCACTGAGAGTTTACAGAGGCTGAGCTGAAAAACTGAGAGCAGGAGGAATAACAGATAAAAATCCATAAAATTGAATAATGCAGCTTGGATAGGTGTGCAGGTGCATTACAGTGACCGGGGGAAACAGTTGCTGTAGTTAAACTGTCTGCTTTTTCCACAGTATACATAACAGCAAATGTACAGCTGTTAAGCTACACAACTTGGCCGCTAAAAGCCGGGTAACTAAAATAAATCGTGGGTTGTTGCAGTTTCCTTCATATATTTCTCAAAGTTTTCTGATGACAATCATTTAACAATGCATGCAGATTGAAGAGGAAGTTTGGAACTTCTCACTTAAATTACTCTATTTTTAGCTTTTCGAAACTAAAATTTTGGTGGCATTCAGATAGAGGTTCTTCGTTCTTCTCATGTTCTGAGGAAGTTCTTTCGAACATGGCCGACTTCATAGGAGATAGAAACAGAGAGGTTGTGCAGTTCTGATTTTTCTCTACGTAATCAGTTTTCTTTAACGCCATAATGGCTAAACTCAACTACAGCAAAAGTTTTCAAAACGCTACTCTAATTAAACAGTCTTTTCGTGTCATTCAAACTTTTTAACTAACTGTTGGTTTTTAGCACCAAACATCTTCTTAACTCAATCGCACACATGCAGACGAGGAAAGGGAAGATAATATTATTTATTTTAGACAGTAGCAACACTTTTTCATTTGGTTCAGACACAGGGAAGACATTGGTTACAGCTAAGCCTTTCATGATAAAAATGTTTGCTGAACGTTAAATCATCTCAGACGTTATTGTGATAAATGATAATATTGTTGTTTTGAGCCTATTTTCAAGTAATATAAGGGTGATGGCATAATAATGCAAAAACGCATTTTCAGATGTCGATGAACTTTAAATTCTAATGAACATTTGACACTGGAAGTGGAAGAAACTTTAAATATCCAAAATTAAAATAAATAAATAAATAAATAAACAAAACAACAGAAACAATAAATAAAATTAATTATCATGTCTCTGTAGACAAAATTGTCCTCTAAAAAAAGCGCTAGCTGAGAATTTTATCATCCAGTTTTTGGTAAGCAGAAACAGAAAAGAGAAAAACAATAAAACAATAAAACATGCAAATGAAAATGATTGAGCTTGTTTTAATTTATCATGTGGTTAATTGATCACATGATAAATTACATGATAAAGCTGCAACTAAACCTTGTTAAAGGTCTAGTTGACTAAACCTGTAGCAGGAAAAGTTAAGACAGCCGTTGCTGACTTTGCACAATAAACATTTAAGCAGATGGTTTGTACTGATAAAGGCCACATAAAATGTACAACCCACAGAAAACGAAAGCATTTCTGTACCTGGTGAACTTTATGCTCACAAACAACAGCACTCAAGTAGTAGTGTGTACTGTTTATTTAAGTTTGGCTTGTTTCTTTACCTAGATTTCAACTCTGTCATTATCCTGGGGCAAAATGTGTTTTTCACAAGTAAATGTTTCCATAGAGCTCTGAAATATCATCTTTCCTTTTTCTGAGTTTCCAACGCGCTGCCACACATCCATTCTTAATATTTCCAATGAAAAAGTAATTTTTAAAATTCAAGGACACAGTCTGGTTCAGACTCTGCTCCAGATTATCCACACATTACCCATATTCTGCTTTTAAGAGGTGAATATCTACAAATATAATTTTGTGAAAAGAGGAAAACAACGGTCAGGCTGATTATGATTAATTTAGTTTTTATATTTAGAAGCTTTATGGTTCTAAAATATTAATGTATTCCTTTTAATCAAGTTACCTGAAACAGTTTGTATTGTCTTCTTGCTTAAAACCACAACAACAGCAAAATGTAAAAATAACATAGAGTTACTTTTGCGTATTTAAGAAGAAGCATTATTTAATAACTGTTATCACAGTCGTTTCTTCAGTACATCTGCAAAAAGCTGAAAACTTTCTCTCTTATCAAGAGCAAGAACAAGAACAAGATCATGTCAATCACTAAATTTTGGAATAATGTTTGAAACTTTTTCATTATTACCCACGTTCTTTAAGTTAAACAGATTAGCTTGTATACAGCAAGCGCTGTGCTCTCTGCCTTGAATTTTCGGTTTTGTTTATTGTTGTTATAACTATGGTGCTGTTAGCTTTTACTATGCCAAATTCCTCCATATTAAAAGCGGAAATGTCTCCCCAAATATTTCATAGGAGCTCCACGAATTTCTTGTTCCTTTTAACGAAAACGCTGTTGTTGAT